TATATATATATATATATATATATATATTGGTGTATATACACCTCAACTGTTGCGTGAAGTTTTCAGTCTGTATTTTTTGTTTGATTTTCTGGACCTGTTTGTCGTGAAGTCCATCGACTGCTAACAAAGAGATGAGGGCTTTAATTTGTTTTGTTTGTGTTTTAATAATTTGCATTTATTTTCTTCTTCCTTTCTTCTTCTCAAACATATATCAGCTAATAGGGCGCTCTTTAGCGCTAAGCTATATAATATATTTATATATATATAAATAAGATATATATATATATATCTTTTATATATGTATAACATATATATATTATATATATAGATATATATATATATATATATATATATAAAGCAAACTTCGCTCTAAGACGAAGTTGCATGCGAAAGACCCAACTGACACCCCACAGAAAACACAACCCGTCATAAACCCTAAACCCTAAACCCTAAACCCTAAACCCTAATATACTCTCAAGCAGTAAACCCTAAACCGTAATAAACCCTCAAACCCTAAACCCTAAACCCCTATAAACCGTCAAACATTCACCCGATGCCCTCAAACCATATATATAGACACAAATAAACCCTCCACCTAAACCCTAAACCATAAACATAAACCCTAAACCTCTAACACAAACGCTAAACCCTCACACAAACCCTAAACCCTCACAGACAAACCCTAAACCCTTACACACAAACCCTAAACCCTCACACACAAACCCCAAACCCTAAAACTATTAGCCGCAATCCCCCTATTGGAAATATTTTAGAGCGAAAAGGCCTGGCTAGGGTTTGCACAAATAAATACCTCATGAATAAACCCTAAACCCTAAACCCTAAACCCTAAACCCTAGAGGCGTAGCAACGATATCTTTTTGTCCGTTAATTATATTTGTTTATTTATGCTTTTAAATAGACGATTTATCTTCAAGATGAACAATAAATTTTATTTTTATTCTAAAAGAAAATAAAAAGAGTATAGCTGCAGATACACCGCAGCTGTGGGGCCTCTATAGCGCTGCATGCAGCTAGCAGTATATATTTGCTGCAGCAGCAAGGCTATTATTGTTTTGTTTATCTTCTGACTTTATAAAGTAATGTTATCTGTTTAGAGGGGCAATTGTTGCTGCAGAGAGAAGCAGTTGTTGTTGTAGCTGTTGTTCTGCTGCTTCTGCTGCTGCTGCAGCCGATGCTGCAGGCTGTACATACACCGCAGCTACACCCGCTGCTCCTCTGCACTTCCTCTTCAGGCCTCTGCTTGCAAGCAGCAGCAAATGCGCGTGTTGAGGAGTAAACAAATAACAGCAGCAGCAGCACCAACAGCATCAGCAGCAGCACCAGCAGCAGCACCAGCAGCAGCAGCAACAGGGCCCCCAAGGGTTTAGCTGCAGCGGTGGCTGTTTGTTGAGGGGTAGCAGCAGCAGTTGCTGCTTGCGCTGCTTGTTTGTCTCTCTGTGTCTCCTTGAATGAGAGAGGCCGAGCGTTTAAGAAGCTACAACTGCAGCAGCAGCAGCTGCAGCACCTGCAGCAGCAGCAGCAGCAGCTGCAGCCCATACAACAGCAGCAGCAGCATCTGCAGCAGCAGCTGCAGCATCAGCAGCAGGAGGGAAAGAAGAACGAAAGCATCTAATTGAAAGGCGGCATAGAACAGACCGAAGCAGCAGCAAACAAAATAACAAGCTGCTGCAGCGCAGCAGCAGCAGCAGCAGCAGCAGCAACAGAGATTGATAGAGAGGAGGATACAGCGACAACATCAGCAGCAGCAGCAGCATCAACAGCAGCAGCAGCAGCAGCGGGTTGTTTAATTGCACGTTATTAAATAAAAATAAACAAATTAATAATTAAATAAAATATAGAGATGGGGGTGCCGACTTTCTATCGGTGGCTTTGCTGCAGATACCCGAAAGTTGTAGTCGATGTAATAAACCCGCAGCACCTGCATGCACCTCAAGACGACGAGCAGCAGCAGCAGCAGCAGCAGCAGCAGCAGCAAGATGGGTCTTCAGGAGATCAGCAGCAGCAAGATGGGTCTTCAGGAGATCAGCAGCAGCAGACAGAATATGATTGTCTTTATCTTGATATGAACGGAATCATTCACCCGTGCTGCCACTCAGACGATGGTGTAAGCTGCTGCTGCTGCTGCTGCTGCTTTTGCTGCTGCTGCTGCTTTTGCTGCTGCTGCTGCTTTTGCTGCTGCTGTATTTGCTGCTGCTGATGCTGCTTCGGATGCTGCGGCAGCTGCTGCTGCTTTTGGTGTATCATGCAGGTGCTGCTGCATGTGTTGCTGCTGCTGCTGCATGTGTTGCTGCTGCTGCTGCATGTGTTGCTGCTGCTGCTGCATGTGTTGCTTCTGCTGCTGATTTTGCTGCTGGTGCTTTCGCTGCGGCTACTGCTGATGCTGCTGCTGATGTTTTGCTGCTGCTGCTGCAGTTGTTGCTGCTGACGTTGGTGCTGCTGCAAACAAAACACTACGCCAACGAAGCAAATATATTTATATTTATATTTATATTTATATTTATATTTATATTTATATTTTATTTGTTTTGTATTTATTTATTTTTATGTTTACTCAAGTGTTTGTATTTATTTAAGTATTTATCTAAATGTTTATTAAAACATTTCTTTAAATACCTATTCATATTTATTTATATTTATTTATTTATTTATATTTATTTATATTTATTTATTTATTTATATTTATTTATATTTATTTATATTTATTTATTTATTTATTTATTTTGTTTTTTTAAGGTCTGCCCTGCAACCGAAGATGACATGTTTCTGCGTATATTTTCGTACATTGATTTTGTTGTTAATATCATCAAACCCAAACTACTCCTTTACTTGGCTATAGGTAAGCAGCAGCAGCAGCAGCTGCTGCAGCAGCAGCAGCAGGAGCTGCAGCAGGAACTGTTAAGCTGTAGCAGGAGCCGCAGCAGCAGCAGATGCTCTAGGAGAGTCACCAGCAGCAGGAGCTACAACAGAAGCTGCAGCAGAAGCAGCAGTAGCAGCAGTAGCAGCAGCAGCAGCAGCAGCAGCAGCAGACATAAAGGGAGAAGGAGACAGGAAGAGGAGACACCACAGTAGCGTGTAGACGCAGAAAAAATAAATTGCACGAAAAGGAGACAAATAAAAAAATCATAATTATAAATAAACAAAGACAAAGAGACAGATAAACAGAGACAGAGAGACAGATAAACAGAGACAGAGAGACAGAGATATAATTTAATTTAATTTAATTTAATTTAATTTAATTTAATTTAATTTAATTTAATTTTATTTAAATGCAGATGGAGGGCAAAGATGAATCGTCAATTATATATGTGTCTTTAGTAGTTTATTCTTTACTTCTTTTATTATAAATAAATAAATAGATAAATAAATAAATAAATAGATAAATAAATAAATAAATAATTAATTGATTTGTTTATTTAAATGCAGATGGTGTGGCTCCTCGTGCGAAGATGAATCAGCAGCGCATTCGCCGATTTAAAGCAGCAAAAGACATAGAAGAGGAGACAGCAGCTTATGAAGACATAAAGAGACAGTTTATAAAAGAAGGCAGAGCTGTCCCTGCCCCCAAAGTGCGCTGGGATTCAAACGTTATCACCCCAGGCACACCCTTCATGGATAGACTCGCTAAAGCTCTAAGGTATGCTGCTGCTGCTGCTGCTGCTGCTGCTGCTGATGGTGGTGGTGCTGCTGCTGCTGATGGTGGTGCTGCTGATGCTGCTGCTGATGCTGCTGATGCTGCTGCCTCTGTTTTGCTGCTGCTGCTGTTCTGCTGCGGTGCTAATTCTGCTGCTGCTGGTTCTGCTGCTGCAGCAGGAACTGCAGCAGCCCTGTTACGCCTAATATATATATATATATATATATATGTATATATATATGTATATATAGATATTGTCTGATGAATTGCTTCAATATAATCAATAAATAAATAAGTAAATAAAATATATATATATACAATTGTTTGCTTTGTTTATTGAGTGTCTCCTTCTCTCCTCTCTTTCAGCGCCTCTGTTGCAGTTAATGATATTACATAATATGTTTGCGTTTATTTATATTTATATATATTTATTTATATGTTTTTATTTTAGGTTTTATATAATGGAGAGAGTAAACAACAACAAGCTGTTTAAAAACATACAAATTTATCTCTCAGACGCAAACGTACCGGGCGAAGGAGAACATAAGATTGTTGAGTTCATCAGAGAGCAAAGAAAGAGCAAAAAGTAAGAGTAATATAATTATATTTATATTTATATTTATATTTATGTTTATGTTTATTATATAGTATTGCATTTAAATACTGTCGAGAGTTCATCAGAGAACGAAGCAAAAATAAAAAGTAAGAGTAATATATTTATATTTATATTTATATTTATATTTATATTTATATTTATATTTATATTTATATTTAT